GATCAAGAACTGATAGTTGTGAAGGAAGAAGTCCAAGACACACGGAGAGCATTGGCAAAAAACAGGCTTTAGGAATTGGCAGAATACCAATTTAAAATTTTCAACAAATTGATGTAGCCCTGGAAGCTCTCACTCATCTATGTCAAATTTGTAAGACAGCTAGCTACCTGACTAACACTGGAAGAGATTTATATTTGTGTCCATTTCAAAGAAAGGTGAGCCAATAGAATGTGGAAATTATCAAACAATATCATTCATATCATACAGAAATAAATTTTTGCTGAAGATAATTAGAAACCATAATTGTAGCAGTACATCAACAAGGAGGTGCCAAAAAGTCAAGCTAGATTTTAGAAGAGGATGTGGAAAGAGGGATATCATTGTGATATCAGATGGAACTTGTCTGAAGACAGAGAATACCATAAAGATGTTTGCTGTTATTGTTAAGTGCAATATTGGTTTTGATTCATAGTGACCCTGTATCGGGTTTCCAAGGAGTGGCTGGTAGGTTTACCGTCTAGTGCATTATTCTGCAATGCTACACCAGGACTCCAGAAAGATGTTTACCTGTGTGGGTTTTTTTTTGGCGTTTTGTTTTGTTTTTGTCTGTTCAAAGGCATTCAACTGTTGTGGATCATAACAAACTATGGATAACATTTTTTTTCTTAAATATTTTATTGTGAATTATGTGATAGTTTACATGGGAGAACATTAATTTTACATTCATTCTATCATATATAGTCTCATTGCCCTGGATACAGTCCCCTCCATGCATCATCAACCAACCAAAGGGTACACCGTGCAATCCTGCCCCCCCCCCCGGTACCCCCCAGGTCTTCAGCACACAGTCGCTCTCCCTCTCTGGATCTAAAGTCTCCAGCTGCTCCATCGCTCCACGTCAACATCACTGCCTCCATTTCAGGCATCACTGCTTCTCTGGGTAGGGTCCCGCTCTCGGCTCTTCTCCCTTGATGGTCCTAGGGACCTCCGCTCCTAGACTGAAAAGTTAATCACTCCCCTCCTTGCTATAAAACGTCTACCTTTACATTTCCAACCTTCACAATCAGTCCTGATAACAATTATTCACTGTTGTATCACAAGAGATCCATCTGCATTTCATTGCATCAGCCCCACCTAGACAGATTGGATACTATTCACTGAAGAGTCTACCTTCCTCCAGGCCCTCTGTATCTAGGTTCCCTCTTGAAAGCTTGTAAGCCAGTCACTTCTTGCCTTTGTAGCCCCCCACCCCCTCCCATTTTGGGTAGCCAGTGTCCAAGTTGCCCATCCCTGTCTACTCTGTGTGTGGAGGGAGTGGGAATGATTCTTGCTGTAAGGATTTATTCCCTTTTTTGAGCTACTGCTTCCATAGGGGTAGGTCAAGTTCATCAATGGTAACATTTTGAAGAATGGAAATATCAGAACATTTAATTGTGCTCATGTACAACCTGTACAGAAACCAAGAGGCAGTAATTTAAAAAGAACAAGAGAACATTGGGTGGTTTAAAATCAGGAAAGGTGTGTGTCAGGATTGTATCACTTTGATACATCATCAGGAAAGACCAGTCTCTGGAGAAGGACATCGTGCTTGACTATGCAGTGGTTGTGTGTCTCCCAGTTGGCTCAGACTCCTCGTGACCCTGCATAGGGATTCCGAGGCTGCAAATCTTTACGGGAGCAGAACCCCTCATCTTTTTCTGCTGGTAGTTTGGAATCGCAGACCTTCAGGTTAGCAGCCATATTCGTAACCACTATGCTACCAGAGCTCCCTAGGTTCAGTGAAAGATGGATTGACATAGTGGCTGCAACAAAGGGCTCAAACATAACAATTTTGAGGATACAACTGGATGGGGGAGTGCTTCTGTTGTGCATAGGGTCGCTATGAGTCGGAGCCGAAGAACAGAACTTAACAACACATGCAAATATCTTGTTTTTCATCAGATTACACCCAGTTATTTTAACATCCACTGATTATACTTGTCTGCATTGATTTTTACTATTATTTTGAGAAATGGTGATTTTTCTAACTACGTCATTCCTCTGTCTGCCTCTTTTATCCATCCTTTACAGCTCCCAGCATAAAATAAGTTAAGTGCTCAGTTATTTGTTCAATTAATGAATGAAGGAGAATTCCCCTGTGTTGGTCCAGCTTGGGTGACACCTACTTCGTCAGACAGGGGCTTGCCTTCCTCAACCAATCATGGCAGGCTACCGGGGCTTTTGAGCCTTCCGGGGTTTCGCTCCTAGATCCTCTTACTCCAATCATTTGTTGTTATTGTTCAATGCCGTCGTGTCGGTTCCGACCCATAGCGACCCTCTAGAGGGTTTCCAAGGAGCGCGTGGTGAGCTTGAACCACCAACCTTGCAGTTCAAACTGACTTTGCAGCCTAGCGCATTAACCCACAGCGCCACACCAGGACTCCAATCAAGAGCAGAGCTTTGTTGAGCTTCGCTTACGTTTAACAAAGACAGCCGATTGGCTGCTTCAGTTAAGCCGGCCAAACAGCCAGTCAGTGGAGTGTAGCAGGGACCAATGGGTGCTGGTAGGAGGCGGGGCCCGCCACGCGGCCGCGGTATAACCGTGGGACCCGCGCGCGCCCTTCTCTCCCGGCGCAGGCACCGGCACTGGACATGGCTGCGGCTTCCCTCGTGACTAAGTTTGCTGCCCGGCTACTCCGGCCGGCGCAGAGCTGCCGCCCCCGCCATCGCTCCCTCCACCTTTCGGAAGTACGGTAAGAAGATCAGGCAATGAAACCAGCGCGGAAAGCCGGCGGTAACGTAAAGCAGGGGGCTTCCCGAGGGGCGTTCTTTTTGGGTCTCGCTCCCGGGCGGTGGTGCCCCTCGAGAGGGGTGGGTGTGGCGGGGCGACGTGGCAGCCGAGAACCGCAGCAGCCGGTGGCTTGTGGAGGTTCGTTCAGCGCGGTGGGCTGGTACCCTGAACTCACCTTTCGGAGGAGCTTAAACCATTTCCCCAACGGTGCAGGGCGAAAGCGCAGGCGGGCTGTGGTGCGTCTGGATGTAGTGGGGACACCGAGGTAAAGAGCTGGGCATGATTTTACCGGCCTCCCTTGGCACTAATAAGGAGAGATGCCTTGCGGAAGGCTTGAGTGCGCTTTGGCGAGCGCGGGGAACAGTCTGAATGAGCATCAGCTTTGCGCGCGGCGCCTTCGGGCCTCTAGCGGTGGAGGACGCGCGTGCAGGCTGATGAAATACCCGTGCCTGCTGGCTAGCTGGGTACCCGCACTTCCTCCGTCGTCGCGGGGAGGTGGGTGTGGCTCGCGCTGCTGCTCTTCCAGCGCCCCCAACCCTCTAAATAATAAATGTACTGTGTCACCACGGCTTTGACTGAAGAGGCAGCAGGCAGGAGGTGAGAAATACTCAGCAATAAGAAAGTATAAGCTCTATTTGCCTTTCACTAGGGATGCAGTAGTTTTTTTTATGTTGTTTTAATCTTTCTGGACCTCAAGCTCACTTTTTTTTTTTTGAGATCCAATCTAAGCTTTATTAGCAGAAAGCCAGCAGTCTGGAGGATGGAGAGAATAATTTCTCAAGACCGTCCTGTCCATTTATGAAGGAAGAGTGAGCACATTATATAGGGTTGGAAAAAGAAACAATAAAGCAAAAATTTCTTCAAACATTCTACCTTTCAGAAAAAGGAACAATCAGGCAATAAACTTCCTCAAACAGCCTGCCTTTAGGGTCTGGCTACTTAGTTCCAGAGATAACTATTTGGGTGGGTTTAAGCAGTCCTATTTCCTTGTCCAGAGTCCTGGTGTGGTGCTGTTGGCTAATGTATCAGACTGCAAAGTCGTTTGAATTGCAAGGTCGGTGGTTCAAGCTCACCAGCTGCTCCTTGGAAACCCTATACAGGGTCGCTATGGGTTCGTGATCGACTCGACGGCACTGAACAACAACTACATTCCCCTTGTCCTGTCCTCCTAGGACCACAAGCCAATATATAAACTTCCCAGCCAATATATAAACTTCCTCATTTTCAGCGTCCTCACTTGAGAGTCTCAATGACTAACCCGACTCCATTTATATATGTCAGTAGATCCATACTATCATTCCCCACTCATATTTTTAGATTTCATTTCTGTGAAATTTGCTTCAAATGAAAATAGTTACTTTGATCCTGGGCATTGTTCCTTGGATCAAAAGAACTAAGTTTAGATCATGATAAACAGCAAGTTTTACAAAGGGTGATACAACAAGGTAAGCATTGAATACAGCAACATATGAAAATTCCTATGACAATACAAACTATGACCCCCACTATTGTGCTTAGCCACCCCAGATTGGTAACCAAGATAACCAATTTTTGATATCTGCTCCAGAGAAGCCCTCCTTTTACTGACTGTTAGAAATTATTCCTTTAACATTTTTCAGTTTTTGTTCAATAATTTAGAATTGTCTGAGAGATTAAAACAACACAGCCTTTTAAATTCTTCACATCCATGATTATGCCAGAAGAGCAGATAATCTGTAACAGCCCTATTTCCAGTTCTGCTCCTGACCTGTCCTAGTTCTACATTTAAGGCATTGATTGCTTGGGAAGTTGCATTTAGAGATTTGACGGTTAAACAGACTGACTAACTTCTACATTTATGGCAGTAACCATGTCAGGCATGATAGCAACAAAGCTATGTGTTCTGTGTTGTTGTTGTTAAGTGCCATCGAGTCGGATTCGACCCATAGCGACCCTGTACAGGGTTTCCGAGGCTGTAAATCTTTACCGGAGCAGAACACCTCATCTTTCTCCCGCGGAGCGGCTGGTAGTTTCGAACTGCTGGCCTTAAGGTTCGCAGCCCGATTCGTAACCACTACGCTACCAGTAGACCACTAGATAGTCAGCAGATTAACTTCCCGGGTTACTCGACTCTTTGTTTCTTCGAAATCCTGAATCCTAGGTCAAAAAGTGGTGAGTTGTCCAAGGGAATAGGGGTTCCTCCGAGGCCTTGGTGGGAACATTAGAAAAAGCCTGATGCCCAAGAGGAGGAACCACCCAGAGGTAGCTTAATATGTCTGTTAGCATAGGACACTGTCTTCTACCTCTATACAGTTCAGAATGGTGTTTCTTAAGGGTTTGCAATCAGTTATACATCCAGAGAACTGCATACAATGGACATGTTGTTGTTCTTATGTGCCGTCGAGTTGGTTCTGACTCATAACGACCCTGTACAGGGTTTCCAAGGCTGTAAATCTTTACGGGAGCAGAAGGCCTCATCTTTCTACCACGGAACAGCTGGTAGTTTCGAACTGCTGACCCTGAGGTTCACAGCCCGATTTGTAACCACTATGCTACCAGAGCTCCTTACAATGGACATTAGGGGTAACTATTCTAAAATATATCGAAATAGGGTGAAATTTCCAATTAACTCTAAAGGAATACATACCCATACTAAACATGAGGTTGTAAAGAGGAGACACATTATTTTAAGGGGCATCTTCTTATCTATAGTTGGGTTTCTCCAGTTGCTTTTGACGTCCAGGTGGTCCTGTTGACTGATAGGTGAGACTTGATTCTGGTATGGTGTGTCCAGGTTTTGAATCCAGCTAACTCAATAGCTTTTCTCATCTGACCCTGACCTGTCTTTCCAGTTCCATCATTACTGCCTCTTTTTCTCCACCTTGCCCCCAAACTCCTTTCTTGAGTGCTGGCTAAATGCGCTTATGGACCGATCAGATCATAAACTTTCATGACTGCAAATAGATTTATAAAAATCCTTTAATTCATCATGTAAAAAAAAACTGAAGCAGTTTGCTCACACTCTCTAGTAACAAATAGTCTCCTTTCTTTTGCTCTTCTGAATGAGAGTACAGCTTCTACATCTCTCAAGGTGAAACGTATTTTCTGGTCTTTAATTATTGGGATGTATTGCTTTTTATTAAGGAGCTCTGGTAGCGTAGTGGTCAGCAATTCGAAACTACCAGCTGTTGCACAGGAGAAAGATGCTATGTACAGGGTTGCTGTGAATAGAACCGACTCCACGGCACATAACAACAACAATTGCTTTTTATTACTGTTGGCTGCATAAATGTAAGACATTGTTATCCTTTTTAAAAAAATATGTGTCTGTATGCATTCTCCTCCCCTCCCTTTTACCCCTTAGGGTTGGTGTGAGGGTTTTTCAGAATCACAAATTTCAGGAAACTAAATATCACAGAAACAGTAGTAGGGTCACTTAGGAGACAGTGAGATGCAGAGAAAATGGACTTTGGAGGCAGAGGTTTGCGTTTAAATTTTGTTTCTACCATCCTTGGTTTCCTCTTCTGTAGAAGCCAAACATTTGCCACTCAGTTGACTCTGACATATGGTGACCCCATGTATCAGTGGCTGATTTTTTGGAATTAGATTTCTGGGCTTTTCTAATGAGGCACCTCAGGATGGGCTTTAACCTCTCACCTTTCAGTTAGCAATTGAGTTTGTTAATTGTTTGTGTCATCCAGATACTCCCTTATACACAACAGGGTTATAAAATCATTCAAGGTGATTCTGACAATTGTTAAGTGCCATCAAGTCAGTTCCAACCCATAACGACCTTGTGTAGGATTTGTGAGCAGCAGCTGGTGAGCTTGAACCACTGACCTTGCAGTTCAAACAACTTTGCAATCCAGCACATCAACTCACAGTGCCACACCTGGATTCCAGTTGTGAAAATAATCTGTGTAAAATGCTTAGCCATTAAGTGCATTCTGACTCACGCTGCAAATACCTAGTGTTTAATAGATGTTCGTCCCGCCCCCTTTTGTGTCTTTCTTCACTAGTTCCTGGTTCTAGTAATTAGTTGTTAAGTACTGTTAAGTCGGTTCTGACTCATAATGACCCTGTATAGGGTTTCCCAGGAGCATCTGGTGGGTTTGAACTGTTGACCTTGTGGTCCAGTGCTGATCCTACAGCAAGTACCACAGTAATTAGAACTCTTCCCCAAATACCTTGATCATGATTTGTAAAATGACTAATACTTATGTTTCATGGAAAATGATAGCAGTACAAGCTATTTAACTGGGTGAAAAGTGAAGGTGATATTGATATTCGGTTTTGAATTTTACTTGAACAGTTTTCTTGACTTCTTTCTAGTCCGTTGATTCATTATTTAGATGGGAAAAAATCTAAAACACATCTGTGAAAGCATTCAGTTCCTAAATAAATGTGGCTACTGTAGTTGCTCTGGTAGTGTAGTGATTACTAATTGGGCTGCAAACCGCAAGGTCAGCAGTTCAAAACTACCTGCTGTTCTGGGGGGGAGAAAGATGAGGCTTTCTGCTCCTGTAAAGATTTACAGCCTTGGAAACCTTGTACAGGGTTGCTATGAGTCGAAATCGACTCCACGGCACACAACAACAACAACATTATGGTAGTAGTGACTTTTATCTGCTGCTTGGCAAAGCTGGTAGTTTCAAGTTAGGAGTTAGGTAATGACTCATTCCCTAGGCTGTATTCCCACTACATGCAGTGCTGTGGAAAACAGGAGGGCTAAATATTTACAAAGGATTTTCATTACATTGTGGCTTTGTTTTTTGGTTCTTGTTACTCTTTAAGAGTTTTTTTAAACGAATTGGCATAACATCCAGAACCTGCCTTTGGAAGCTCAGACTAGGACTTGGAACACTGGGTTCTCCCAGAAGCCTGTGTCCTTAGCTCTAGTATATTATTTTTAGCCCAAATGTGCTGCTACCATGTATTTTGCTTTCAAAGTGAGGTACAAGTAAGCCCTTGTTCCTGAGTAAATGATACACACCCTTAGTATGCATAAGCATATCTATTACATATTAAATGTTCATATGTGTCTGTGCATGTATGAATCTAATCAAGAGTAAAAAGTTCATTTTTATTGAATAAATATGCTGGTCCTTTATAAATGTTATTTCATGTAATGTAAATGACTGCCTTTGAAAAAGTAATTTCTT